ACTAGTACTTTTTCATCATTACATAAAACTAAAAAAAAAAACTTTCCAGTAAAAAAATTAAAAAGAAAAAATTTATCACAATCAGAACTTGAACAAACATTTAATGCTTATTGTACAACTGAAAAAAATTTCTCAAAGTACAATCTTGCAATAAGAGTGCTAAAGAAAAAACTTTCAGCCCAAATAATCATCTTATTCTTTGAAAAAAAAATTGATCGACAAAGTATCCTTGTTCGGGTACTTTGATTACTAAAATAATGATGACAAAGGCAGTAATGAACTCACCCTGCGTACTATAATCCGGCACCGTCGGCGAGGTCGCGTCATCCTCTTCTGCTAGAAGATCCAAAGAACTCCATTTAGCTAATGACGAGTTATCGTCGAGCTCAAAGTTTTCTGCGTGATAAGAAATTTCAACCTGCTTTTTTAAACTGATCTCTCGATCGACCAATACATGGCTTTCATCTTTTTCAAAGCGCAAACGCGCAAATTGTCACTATTAATTTACTTAGAATTAAGTAAAAAGATTCATCTCGATTAAAATTCATTAACGCCAAGATGAAACAATAAGAAATAGATAGTGAATGCAAATGTAAATAATTGAAAAATATCATTACCAAAAAATTGCACCAAATACAATAGAGCATAGTAAAGTGGTTAGAAAAATACGTATATTTACGGTACACGTGTCTGTGTTGGTGTTATATTAAGGATACAGAAGTTAATTTTTTATTATACTTGAATACTTTACCACATGCTTAAGAACATGCCTCAGATTATTTAGAGAAGTTATGTGGATTGTTCTGCAAAAAAGGCTTTTTTAGCTAAAACGTAAAATTAATAAACAATTTTAAATTGTCATTCAAGTCATGATTTACACATGTTTCGATATGCGTATAGTTCACGACGTCGTTGTGAATTAAAAATCATATTCAGCTTCAAGTGTAAAGTTACTGTTTGCAACAAATGTAAATTTTGTCATGTACATTGTAGACCTCAAAAGCCAAAGCAAGTAGAAATTTCCTTACTCATTAGAATCAATGGGATGATGAAAAAATTTAAATGATCACAAAAGATAACTTATGTCGCATGAGATTAGAAAAAAAAAAATCATTATTCATCTATAAATATTGTTGTCCAGTAAACATAAAAACAGTCTACTGCAGTGTCCTACCTTTAATAGTGGGTATAATGAAGCCTTTCAGAGCTGCATTTATTGCACGTGCGACAAGCAATAAAGACAGACAGACAGACAGACAGACAGAGACACAGAGAATGCATACAAAAAAAAAAAAGAAATATCTTAGATGCCACATCGTGCCATACATGGTATGTACGTGTTTTTAGTGTTTGTCGAGTGTTTTGATGTTTGGGATACGTCAGTTGAGCTGCTGTTCATTTTTAATGTTGTGTTATTGTTTGTAGTGTGAAAATTACGTGATTTGATGGCAAAACAATTAATTTAACTCTAATCTGAAAAGTAAAATTTCTTAAAATAATAAAATCAATTGTATTGTTACGGGGACTAATTTTTAAGAAAAAACTTTTAAGGAGGTGAACAAAAAAATATGCAAACACGACAAACTAAATCATCGTCGAATAAGTACACATTGATAAAAAAAAACTCCAACTTTAATGACGATTTCCGCATGCATTAGAAATCTTGACAAGTTCCAAAAAAAACGAAAATTTCATTCTCATTCGATCGAGCAAAACGGTTTGATAACAACGATTCGTACAAAAATCTCTAATACCTGATTATCTAAGAAAAAAAAACAAAAAAAAAAAAAAATAAAATCATACAGTCATGCCCATTGCGACCGTGTCCGAAAAAAAAAAAAAAAAAAAAAAAAAAACAGAAGAATAAAAAAAAAAAAAAAAAAATCAAAAATAGACTGAGTTGGGAGGGAAAAAATTCGGCTTTACCTTGACAGTCGAAGAACTCGTCGTCGCTGCCCGACTCGGATTCGCGCACAATACTCTCCATTCGCCAATTGACCAACTGGGCGTCGAAGCTCTTGGCCGAACTAGGCGAGTGTAGCGACGTGCTGCTCTTCTTCCAGCCCTTGTCCTTTTCCGCCTTGGATGTTTTTTCTGGCTTCCTACTGAAAAACAGATTTTCGGGTTTTTTTTTTTTTTTTTTTTTTTTTCTTTTCACGCATCATCGAGTTGGGACGAATGAGCTTTTCTTTCGGAGGAAGATGAAAGGGAACAAAGTTGAATCGAGTTCGAAGTACGTGAGGTGTGCTCTAATAACTTATTTTTAAGAGCACTGGCGAGTACGTGGGTGGAATGACGGAGAACGTGTGAGACGCGGAGTACTTATGGAAAGGGAGTTTGAGATATTCGTTTGTGTACACGCTTTGACTGGGTAAGGACTTTTTGAAATTTTCACCAAAAGTCGAAAAGAAGAGTATAAGTGTAAGGTCGGTGTCAACGATGGTTTTAAATATTCATATCACAAAGGCCTTGATGGTGACATAAGGGTACGTAACGTTCGTCGACAAAATTAATGGACCTTTTTTTTTTTTCAATCGGTAATTTGAGACTAGGAAAGGAATACGTATGAAATTTGTCAGGTTTTTATCGGAAAATGTTGTACGTTCAATTGAAAAAAAAAAAAACTTATATTTTTCATTAAAACGTTACTGCTGAAAAATTGGCCCAAAACTCTCACTAACCATGATTCCTCTGTCACTTTTAAATACCAATTATTACAGAATTTCGCTTCGTGTCTTCATAGAATTTCGAGTAGAATGTATGTTTGAGTAAACTCAGATTAAACTTGAATATTGATGCTTGGAATGTAAAAAATAGGTGTTTAATCGAAAATTCAAATTATGTGTATTCAGTAAAGTAGTCGCGTAGAAATCGAGTCATCGGAAAAAGGAGAAAAAAAATCATTTTGACCCAAGGACAACATCGGAAAATCGTTTTAACGTTCCACGCAACACACCGGATACGTAAATTAGTCACAATAAAAAATAAAAACCCATTCGATGAAACAAATAAGAGAAAAAAAAAAAAAAAAAAAAAAAGAAATACCTGATAGGCAGTATTTCGGTGGGCGAGTCCTCGGGACTGTTCTCAGCCTCGGAGCTGACGGCGGTACTGATGACGGGTATGTCGGAGGGCTTGCGAGCCGAGGCCGGGCTCTGGGAGTCCTCGTTCTTCTCGATACTGCCGAGGGTGGCAGCCAGGGTCTTTGCCACCTGAGCCGAGTCCTGGGGCGTGATGGTCGCGTTCACCCTCTCCGAGTCCTGTTCCTCGCGCTCGTCGCCATCCTCGGCCTCGTTGGCCCCCTCCCCCTGGCCCATCGTTGCCTGCAATGCCAACTGAGTCTGGCGCTCGATCTCCCGGATGTCCTCTATCGTCAAGCCGTTCCACTCGTCCTGCCAGGCCCAGGCTTGCCGGTGCGCTCGCACCATTGTTTTCCTCAACGCTATTCAAAAGATTTTTTTTTTTTTTTTTTCCCCTCAAACAAATGATTTCAAATTCGACAAACCGTTCGCTTCGCGTCTATGTGCATTCTTCAACTACAAACGATTCAATCTCATTCTAATCGGCACGAAAAAACGAGGCGTTAAATGAAATTTCGCGTCTCGATGCAACTCATCTACGGATTCAATAAATCAGCCCAATCGTAAAGCTTAAAAAAAAAAAACATCTCGGCGTAACATTAAAGTTTGGAAAAACGTGCACGCGGTTAAAATTATACACGCGTGTCAAAGAGCCCCGTAAGTAAAGTATACTCGAGGGCTGCACGGCTCCTTACCTATATCCTGTATGAACTTCTCGAGCTTGGTCTGCATGCCCCAGTAGCGGAACTCGACGCGGCACAATTTGTAAGCGCACATCAGCGACTTGCCCGACTGCGTGGGCTGAGCTTTACCCTGGAAAATGGCATTTTTTCTCTCTCTCTCTCTCTCTCTCTTTTCAAAATTGCAAAGAGCACTCGAGGGCTCCGAATACGCGCCACTCTCTCTCTCTCTCCTTTTTGCAAATCGTTAGCTGCTTGCGAGAAAAGCTGCTATGCTTGTTTTTTTTTCCTCGTAAAAAGTGAAATTAAATTATCTATCAATATGATCGAGTTTCTCTTTGAATGCCAGGTGGCTGGAGAATTGATTTTTCAAACTGTGGTAAAAACAAGTACAATACATCTATATGCATCCAATGAAGAAACAAAATATTGGTTGTACGTTCGGGAAAGTAATTGACTCGTAAAACTCTGCGTTGTTGGTTTTTATCGTATAGGTAGTGGAAAAAAAAAAAAAAAAAAAAGGAAACATTTAGCTATAAGAGTGTGCTCGAAAAGTGTGGAGGGACAATAGCGGTCCGCGAAAAGGACGTATAGGCACGAGAATGGCATGTTTTATTCATAAACCGAAGAGGAGAAGGAAGAAAAAAAACATCACCGTGGTAGCAGCAGTTGTTCTCTGCGAGCTAATCGAAGTATCGGAGAGAGGCTATGGTAAACACGTGCATGTATAGTACCTATATATATATATATATATATATATATATATATATATATATATATATATATACGTACTTTGACATCGGCCCAATACTCCTCGAGCCAATTTTCCGACAATGGACCTCTTCCAGTTTTTTCTGACACGTAAAGCGTCGGGTCCTCCTCTTTGACGTAATCGGCTCCAGTCAGCTGGTCCTTCACTATGTCGATTACGTCTGTACGTAAGAGAGACATGTTTGTTAAATTCACGGAATATCATACGCTTGTAATGTATACTATACTTTTTTCATGAATAATAGATCCAATTATTTTTTGCTATTATTGGTGATACTACATTTTTTCAATCAAGTATATTACGTTCTTTCTTTTTGCTGGTGTTGTACTGTAGGTAAGCAGTGATGAAGAAAAAAAAAAAAAAAAAATAGCCAACGATGCACTGACCGACAACGCGATTCCTGAGATCGCTGCCGGACAGCTTGAACACGTTGTCCTGGTAGCCGTTGTCGGGGAAGTAGTAAGTCTCGATTTCGATGGAAAACTTCTCGACGAAGGGACACGTGTAGCGCGTCTTCGTGTACGGATAGGCGTTCCAGGCCTCCTCCTTGACCATGAGCGCCGACTTGGGCAGGAGGCTCTTGAACCATCCGGGCAAGTGGCTACCCACGTGATAGATTTTGTGGGTGTATTGGCCGTTACCACCGGGCCCATTAGAGTACGGTTCGTTCACGATTATCTCCACACCGCTGCCCGCACCCTTGCTCTCCTCCCGAGATTTTTTCTGCAACACGGTATCACTTTGGTCGATTTTTCTCTTTTCTTTTTTTCAGTCTCAACACTCGTACTTATACCGATAAAAAAAAATTAATTACAATTAATAAATATTATTCGTCCAAACAAAACGTATTTCGTTCACTCAAAGAAAACGATAATATTGTATACTAATCAGCTATTGGTTCCTAATGCCAGCCTATGATGTATAAAGTATACATAATTTATTATTGGAATAAAACGACCGAGAAAATATCGATGTTACGTTGAGAGGAAAAACGGGAAATATTCTCTCGGGAGACGCAAGCAAACGGGGTTATTGGTGGTAACAGTAAAAGCCTCGCTCATGTACATATAGTTCCGAGGTAGCGGCTCAGGCGGCTCTGCGTCCATAAGTATTAGGTTTGTTTGCCTTGCTTGAAAGGCTTCCCTGTTCGTCTTGCACGCGTTTTTCAAGAGCAAAAATGACCGTATGCGGAAACTCGGCCTTTTTTCTCCGATGCAGGGGTACGAAAATATTTGCGCTTCCAGTCACTTTTTTTTTTTTTTTTCGCTTCCTCTTTCCGTTTTACTTTAATCTTCTCTAGGTATTACTTTACTGTTTTCATGAGACGAGACGAGCAATGGTTACTTGATTACGTTTTCCACCGATTTATTTTGTATCAAAGACACATAAATTTCTCATGAAGGGGGTAGTAAGTATTATAACGTGAGTTATATCTTGAATGGAAATTAAATTTTTCCAAGTTTATCAAAGACATGAAAAAAAAAAAAAAAAAAAAAAACAAATGGTGCCCCATAAAACGAGGAGGAGACGAGCAAAAACTCACGGCTATCATGTACAGCTGGGCAATCTTGTACTCCTGCACGGTGAGCGGAAGTGGTATCCGATACTCTTTGATCAACATCTTGATTGGTTTTTCCCTCCTCTAGCGGTACATCTCTGGAACAGAAAACAAAAGCAAAAAATCAACTCCATCGTCAACAGAACGCGCGCTCGTGTTTTTTTTAAATTTTTTTTTCCTCCACCAATAAGGTACCCTACAGGATCACAGTTTTATGTTTCTCACTCGACTACCTTGGAAAAATCGTATTTTATCTTTCATACTCAATTAAGAAAAAAAAAAAAAGAAAAAAAAAAAAAATTCAAAATGAGCAAAACAACCGCGACGAGAGGCACGTTGTATACTCGTCCTCGACGCGCGAGTCGCCGACTTACATCCCACGGGAGATCGTGGTGGGTTCCACTGGTACTCCAAACGACAATTATAAGACTCGTTGCTTCCACGCAACTGAGGGTGGATCACAATTATCCCTGAATATATATCGTGTATATATTATCGCTTGAGTCGTTGAGTTCCGATTAATTTGCTCTTAAAATCATTAAAACAAGGTGGCAAAAGGATGCCCTCGATTGTACACAACGTTAAAACCAAATTCCCACGTTACAGCCTTTCCCAGATGAGCACATCTGAAACCCAAAGAGCAGGGTCTTACGTTACACCGAGTCCTGTAGCGCCACTTGTCCTTCAGTTTGTTTACCATGGATATGTTTACATAAGGATAATAGTATACGCTATTACACAGTCTCCGGTGACACATCGTGCAAGTCCATACATGCACCTGCCCTTCGCGCCATGAAAGCCCAGCATGCCAGTTGCTTCTTTCTCGAGTGTTATTTTCAAGGGATTTCGTGTTTCTCGAGCGACCATAATATACAATCGCCACAAATATATAATGCTTACAATACTCCGCTCGAAGTGTGCGATTTATAAAATATACAGCCCTCCTGCACCCGCCCCAGGACATTGCGACCCCACACGTGCTCGCATGTGTTACCACCCTCAAACGCGTTGGTATATTATACAGTTGGTATGCTCCATGCTCGTTTGGTTTACTGCTCCAACTGGAAAATATTTCACGGCTTCAAATGTGAAGAGAATTTCGGAGGGGGGGGAGGTAAGGTAAGTTTACGGGCCGTTTCCATGTCGCATACTACTTATGCTCAAGTGACGAAATTTCTCGTGTTTTGATTACATCGCAAGCTCATAACCGGATACAAGTAATTTTTCATGCATCCCTCCACCGAAGGGGTAAAAATGACAACTTTGCACCCAGTAGGAAATATATGTTTACCGTATGCCAATTACGTGTTAACACTTGGTTAATCGCGACGAATTGAAGGACAAATGGAAGGATACCTATGCGTTGGATAAAGCCGTGTGGTTTTTCTTCGCTTGTGGGCCACGGTTTATTTAGCACCAGAAAAACGAGCGTACAGATTGTCCCCTAAAATGGCCAATTCTCTCTGAAAAAGGGAGCGAAAGCTTTTATGAGAGAACGTGAGGTAAAGAACTTCCACGTACACTCGTAAGCTCCCAAAAATTCCAACAACACCACGATGACCGTAATGCCAGAACTCTCGGGTATGGGTACAACTCGAGGTGCAATAAAACCACTAAGTACCACACCGCGTGGGCCGCGATATGTAATATACGCCTCGGCGGAATATCTCACGTAATACACCTCCTGCTGAATACCAGTTTTATAAGCACAGGCCTCCATGGGTACACGTATATAATATGTACATACATATATTATATATTATTGTATATATATATGTAGCTCCACTGGGCCAGCTGCGGCTAACGTGGAAGCTCGTCAAGTGCATCACCTCGCGCCGAGACTATATACTTACTATTTATACGTATGTACAACTATACATCCGAGCTCTCTAATTCCTGATCCCGCACATTTTTACTTGTACATTTATATAAGTATGCACACGTGTACCTACTTGTATATATGACAGGTGTACCTATACGCGTTATACGCAAAACATTGCCTCTGCTGTTTAAACGGAGGAGGTCGATTGCTGCTCGTTGGCCTACTTCTTTTTTTTTTTTTTTTTTTTTCGCCCTCCGTTGTCTTTTTCAACTCGTATGTAGTACACGCAACAGAGGAATCCTAAACGATTCCGATGCAAAGGTGTGCTTTCGACTAGAGTTGTTATTTTTATTTGTTTTTCCTCTCGCGGGTGTCCTCCACCACCGCGCTAATGAACATTGTTATTGTACATTTTTTTTCTCGGTGTTCTAAAAAAAAAAAAAAAAAAAAACTTACGGAGTCGCTCTTGTACAGTTTTTATTTTTCAGTCTTGCGTAATTTACGTCACCTCGAATACTTTTTTTTCTCTAGCGGACGCGAGGTTTGGCTTGGACGTATAAAAATCTCACATCAATTCACAGATGTTCATGTATTGTGGAATATTTTAATGCATTCACAATGATCGAAAAGAAGTGTATTTACCCGCTTGTTAACGCCGAGCATGAATTGTATTGTCCATAGTTCAAAGCCTGTTAAAGCATTTATACACTTTTAGATGTGTTAATGCTATTCATTTTTGAAGACTCGAATTTCAAAAAACAATTTTTTCTACGAAAATGCAAGCATCAAAAAAATTAAGAAAATCTCGGAAAATTAAAAAAAAAAAATTTCATTTTACTCGGTTTACCCATTGCTTACGGTCAAAGTATGCATAAGCAAACTGGTCAAGCATCAAGTTAGAAAAAAGCTCATAATGTACTCATTCACTTCATTTCTAGAATCTTTATCAATTTTTTCATTTTTTGATGAGAAACGAACGAGAGAAGAAAACCAGCAAGAGGGATATCTTCTAGCTCAACTTCTAGCGCCCCTTCCGCATTAAACAACTTTTTTTTTTTTTTACGACTTTTATGTCTTCCGGGCCAAACCTTGTTTTTAATTTCTTTTATCTAGTACCCGCACACGATTCTTTCGCGAAAATACATTTATCCTTTTTTTTTAACCAGGATGGCATTTGTGACCTGTAAATTAAAAGAAAAAAAATTTAATCGCCTGCACAGAAAATGCGACTTTTAAGCCACGAACGAACACATTTACGCATTTTTATTCTGATGAGCGGTCTTTTTCCACGTGCGTCATTGTTGTTTGTTCAATTGTTCAACTTCAAGCTTTATTTATTTAAAAAAAATATTTTTACAATTTTGAAACCAGGTAGGGATCAGCACACTAACGGATTACACACATACACACACTTTACAGGTTTGATTCAAGATTTGTACTCGCGGACAGCCTTAGTGCTCAGTGTGGATGCCTTCAAGGTTCGTTATGCAAGCAAAGCTCATTGTTTTTTTCCCTTCCCTTCCTCTCCTTGGTTGGCATTGTGGCTTTGTCCGCGTTATTTTTGCGCGTCTGTGCTAAATCAATGCCTGCCTCACACAGGCACAAATGTTTTTTTTTTTTTTTTTTTTTTCTTTAATTTAATTACGAGTCGAGCTTACAACGTTTGATTCAACAAGTTTCGTGAAAAACCAAAAAATTTGTTATTTTTTTTTTTCAACCAAAAAAAAGGTAAAAAAAATTGGGAAACGAGGGATCAAAATTTTTTACCTTTGAAAATTTTCCGAATGAGACCTTGTAATTTTCAAAAAATAGTATGAATTTTAAAAGTGTTCGGGTTGGAAAATATTATTAAATGACTGTTGGAAAAATCGAGAATTAACCTCTGTAACTCGAGTATGATTAAAAAAATGTTCATCGTTGGTCCAAAATTTTTGCAAAACCACGAAACCACCTTGAAATGAAAAATCTAATTTTTCCGACCGCACGAAATCACTTCCCCCGATGAGCAGCTGCGGTTTTTTCGTTTTGGCCGAGCTTTTAAACTTTATGAAATGTTAATCATACGTATCCCGTCACATAGGAACGAAAATCCATCGAAAAAATTATTACAACAAACGTGTTTTAAAACCTAACATTACAAGCTACTACATGACGTACTTATTTTTTATAACGAAATTTACATAATTTTTCCTCCATCCATACAAATACTTTTCATTCATCGAGTTGCATGTATTTCTATAAAATATACCTATGTTATACACCTCGTGTGAAATATCATGGCAAAGAATTTCGCTTTCGACTTTATTTGTGTGCCTCCTGGCTCCCGAGCCGGCTAGAGCTTGCTCTAGATGTGTGTATTTACGTACTACGCGGGATCGGGAGTAAATGTGAAATATCGATACGCGTGGCCATTTCAACTTTCCACAAATTCCAAGTTTAACCTCCGGGAAGGCCTTTCTTTGTGCAATTCAAAGCTCTTGCTTCGAAATTCGAATAGCACGCTGCGGTACTTTTCTTTAACATGCAGCTACCTACAGCTCACCCGCGTTTGTACATTTTATCTCCTACCGAGTGTTATTAGACTTGGTCGATGATACCATTTTTTCTGGCAGAAATAATGCTTTTTATCTTACTTTTTAATGAATTTTATATTATAAACAAATTAAAAAAAAAAATTTTGAATAATTCAACCAATGACAAATAAATGAGTGAACCAATAGAAGGTACAAGATTTAACCGAGTGGTTGCCTGACGTGTGCCAAAACCGCCTTGTTTTACACGACTGGTTATTTTTTCAAACGTGAGGAATGTGTGATTGCATTCGCGATTCGGGCGACAATGAGAGAACCGCGATGTTGCGGTTTCCGCAATATATGCTCGTTTCCTCTTTTTATTTTTACACTTTCACGACAAGCTGCCCACACAAATATCAAGCGAGGACAACAAGCGAGGAGGCTCAATATTTCAGAGAAATCAACCAACAAAATTTAATCATTTTGTTCCATATGATTGGCAAAAAATTTGATAATTTAGCGAATTCACACACATAAAATGTCGAAATTACACAAATTTTATGTATTTTTGCTTGAACTAATAATAATAGTGTATAGTAATAGTTTAAATAGGGCTCAATTATACAATATGTTTATAGTTTAAGCAAAATATTTGTGTCAGATTTAAGTAACACAAAACATGTGTAGTTTCTTCAATTTCAAACAGAATTCATCTACTTATTAAAATCGAACAGTAATGCAATTTTGTAGGAGTAGTCATGAAAGTCATTGCGACATCATGTCCAAGATCCACACAGTGTAGAAGTAAGGAAAAAAAAAAAAAGAAAAGAGTTTTCGCGCACAAGTCGGCAAAAGAGGCTCGGCTGCCTTTTCGGTCTAGAAGGTTTTTCCAAGACCACCCCCTCAGCTCTTAAATCAAAGTAGGATGTACGTTTGATCCGATCGGAGGAGAATCGATAAATAATAACGATAAAATAGTGGCAAAGAAAAACCCCATTATTCGTGAAAGCCGGTCTTTATTGACAAGCTACTCGATACCGATTTTTATGAAGGGAAGGAAACAAAAAAAAAAAAAAAAAAAACACCGAAAGGGCCGCACTTGATACCCATCTTCTCGTGCGCGTGATTTAAAAAAAAAGGGAGCGGCAAGTTGTATTTTTTTCACAGACGCCGTTCCATAAATCAAAGCCTCGTTATACGCCACATCGAGCAGTGGCTACTCTTTCCCGTTCGTTTGTTCCGTCTACTCTGGCTTGGATTATTGGGAAGGTGGGGCAAAGCTTGGAGCCGTCGACAGCAAAATCCGAGCACGAGAAAAAGGGAGTGTGTTTGGGTGTACGGGAAAGGCAGGGGTTCAAGGTGTTGGTCTTATTGGAGGGTCGGAAAAAAGCTCGCGTCATGAGGATGGACTCTTTTTTACAGCGTCTGGAGAAGCTGACGGGGATCATTGGCGATGGAGTTACGATCAAATGGTCCGTGTGTGTATACGCTGCGTATAAGTTGTATTTTTGCGGAAATCTGTTGACAATTTATGTTTTAGGCAACGAGAGCTTTTGAATAATCGATAGATTTTTTATCGATCCCATGAGCATCCACGCAGTACTGCTTGTTTGATTGTTCATGCGAACGGTATCTTAAATTTCGATACAAAAAAAATAATAATAATAAAGTAGTGTCGAAATATTTGTATACAATTAATCTCAAAATGGCGAATGTGTGCAATATTTTCCTTCTCGGTAATCAACGAAAAATATGATACACTATTGGAGGAAAAAACTTATTTTTTACCTCCTTATTTACTGCGGGTAGACGAGATGAGTTTAGACACGCAACTCAACTTTGACGATTGTTGTTGAATGCCAAATCAAAATGAAAAGGACGAATTAGGGTTTGCGTAAAATCTATACGGAAAATAAAAACATATTGTTGATTGTGGCTGTAACGAAATATTTGTTTCGCTGTACCGGCTATTTTCCGCGAATTTAAACTCAATCATTCGCTCGAGCGATCATTTTAATTTTCTCTGGATAGCCTGTCCACATCAGCTCCTCGCGTAAACACCTATTTGAGGAAATATATAAACTAGGCTTTTGCATACGATTGGAATAAAGATTAATTTTCATTTCCTTCAAAAAATATAAAAAACTTTAACATTTATTTACGTTACATTTGAACCTTTTTGTCGAAAACTATAATGTCACAGAGTATAATTTATTTCATCATTGTTAAAGTTGTTCGCATTTATCAGCAAGTAATTAAAGAAATACATAATTTTAGTCAAAACTGTACTTCTTTGCTGTAACAGATGGAAAACGGGACTTTTTCTACAACTTTCGAAACATGTACTAGCAGATAATACTGCCAGGCTTAAACTTTGGACGAAAAATTGTAAGAAATCCAAATACATGAATGAATTATTTCTAAGAAAAACCCATGTACCACAAGCGGACAATTTTCGTTAACGAGCGCGCGGACACTCTCGATCAGACCCCGGGGCTTAATTGACGGTCATTCCGAGCGATCTCCGGAGGGTTGAAAATGTCACCGCAGAGAGTATAAGAGAGTACCGGACGACGTGCGGCTCAAAGCTCGTTTGCGGCCGCAACGCCACGCGTATGTATACATACATATATATATAACGGGTCGCAAGAGGGGCAGCAGTTCGCGCGTTATTCATCACGTACGCCGATCTCGAACAAAGTTTCTTTCCCGATACCGATAAAAATACTCGTTTTATTGTTCCTCTGGCATTTTTCGTCAGTGTGTACCTGTTTTGGAAAGATCCTGTTTTTTTTTTTCTTCTAGAAACTGCAACACTAAAATCGAGGAAGGCTACGCGCATACAGTTTTATGAGAACGAAATTCCGTAAATTTCGCATTTTGGATAATTGGGCACAATAAAATTCAATGGTTAACAAAAACAGCTACAATTCCGCGTGTTTTACGCTAATTGAAACAACTTTTTCGTCGCTTAAGGAGATATTTCGCACAAATGGCGCGTTGGGTTTGTTTTTACAATTATCTGGTATTTTCGTTTATTTACTTTAAAGTTCAATTCAACATAAATTGTTTTTTTTTTTGTAGCGAGAAATAAAAAAGTATAGAAACTGAGGTACAGTTTGCTGTCGCGCAATGAAACTCAACCCTACGGTACGAAGTTCGCTGTTCTCCATTATACAGTGAAACAAAAGGGACGCTTTATTTTTGCCGCAATAACAGCTAGAAACTTTGAAGTTGTGCTTTTGACCAGAAGTACCTAATTTGTTGTCACTGCCTTTTTCCTCGTTTTGAAACTGATGCTGTTGACACGATTTTCTCTCTCCGGTTGGTTGGTTTATTATTTTTCTTACACATAATTGGACATGGATGTTCTTTGAAATAAATCGAGTTACTATTTTTTTTCTTTCTCTCTCTCTCTCTTTTTTTTTTTTTTTTTTTTTAATTAAGTGTGAGAAAAATTATTTCCGTGCTTTTCAAAACACAGTATTAGTAAAAAGAATTTGATTAAAAATACAGCATTGTAATTTAAAAGGGGAAAAAGTTTTAAATTCTCTTTTTTATTTTTTTTCTTGAGTTTTGTGTTTTAAATAGTAAAAATAAAAAAAAACTTCCCAGTAAAATAATGAATTATATTTTTTTTTGAGTGTTTGAAAAAAATAATTGTGTACGAGAGAGTTTATACGCGCGTTTTAATTGAAATTAATTCAATTAACGCGAGAAAATTTAATACATCGTTGAATTTTTTTATTGTTAGCATCTTTTAATTTAAATAACTAGACACAGATAAACTATTTTTCTATAGTTAACGTGCAACTATCAAATGCGTATTTTATTGTAATTGACACATATCTGCGATGTGTGCTTATCACCACAAGCGTTTTTTCCAAATGTATATCTATGTATTTTGCAACTATTTTTTAATGGGTTTTACTACCAGTAAAAAACAAATAAGTATGCATCGTGTATCGGTATTTATAGACACTTTCTGAAACACTGATGTTTAAATGGAAAGTGACGTTTGATTTATACGTATACACACAAAATCTATCGTGGATTGCGCGTCGGAGTCACGAACGTCTGGGATAATGAATTTTTCATTGCCATGTGTATCGCGAGCCTTTATTTACCTTCGCATCGATCGAGGGAGAAACGTTCCAAAAATAAAGTAAGTACGAGCTCAAATTTGAACGGTTCGATGTTTCCTTATGTATCATTGCCATTTTTAGATGTTTTTCATAAGTAGGTGTGATTCAATAAAAACATCCACGTCGGAATAAAAAGAAAAACGTGTACTCGTAAAAAATCGCACCCCCATTGATTTAAAAAAAAAAAAAAAAAAAAACTTTGTCAAAATTTGAAAACAAACATATGGTGACATTTTAATTATACTCACAGTGAATGTCAAGCCTCGTTATCCGCAAAAGACCCAATTTTTTTCACGTAGTAATACACACACTAGCGACTTTTTTCGCCGCACCTTCATCTTCGAGGACATACATGAGCCAACGTTGGTAGGAGTAAGTAACTAGCTCTTGACGGGGCTCGTGAAACAAAAGTCAAACGTATACGCACTGTATATACACACACTCTGCACGCGGTGCTAAAGCTGAGTGGCTCTGAAATGAAAAAAATTTTTTTTTTTTTTTTCCCTCGTACTGTAAAAATATGCCACGCACTCGTACACTACAGGGGTAATTTAGTTGTTGGTACACTTTGACTGAATTGCAAGCTCTCGAGCTCAAAAGTTCGACGCGTAGCGCGAAAGTGACCCGAGCTGGTGGATCGCGGCCAAAACGTCTCGAAAGACGCTGGGAAGACAGACGGAAGAAGAGAGAAAAATAATAGATCCGAGAGTGCGTGCCAACTGAGATCGGAGTTTGGGGGAAAAGTGACCGAAAAAAGGGGGTCTCGAAGTGGTTGAAGAACGCGACAGGTAATGTTTACCCAAAGAGAAAAAAAAAAAAAAAATCCAATCGAGCGTGAAAAAAGCATGCAAAGATTAAAGGGGAACAAATCCACTCTTGTATAAGGATTATAACTCTTGGAAAAATGATTGATCTTGGCGTTTAAAACGATCACTCACACGCACGTTAAAAAAAAAAAAAAAAAATCATCACTCGGTGAAAATCGATTTTTACTCGATTACATATTCATCCGGCCACCCTCCTCCATCGCCCGCCCCGCTCCTTACATATACATATATGTATATATACGAACCTACAACGAAAGCACAAAAGAAAAAAACCAGCGAGTTGATGAATAAATCCTCGGGAGGAGGGGACCACGAAACAAACAAACGTCCCCCGAGGGTATGTACAAATAACAGGTGGTATGATAATGATGGTAATGAGAGGACGGAAAAATAAAAAAAGAAAACCCTCGCTGTTCTGTCACGCGCACCAACAACACCAACCGCCAAGGCAGGTGAGAGGCGAAAGCCCAGCTTTTCCGCACTCTCTCTCTCTCTTTCTCTCCAATACACATAATATACGTATGCGATGTATTATCTCGCCCCGTGTTGTCACCTCAATCCAATTATCGTCGAGTTGCACAAGCACGCCCGCGACTATCGTTATCAACGGCATTGCATACATACGCGGGTTACACAACGACGCTACGTGCGTGACAAGTATATAGCGACGACACCCAATGATGACAAAACTAACAAAATTGAAGGAGGGGGTGAAAAAAAAAAAAAAAAGCTCGTGAGCTTGCAATCACATGGAAATTATTGTTCGGGTGTATACGCACCGGACAAGCCGTACGAAAGGAGGCCGGAAAGGAAAACCAATGGCACTTTTGTCCATCAAAGTACGGAGCTCTAACGCAAAAGTACCACGAATGTAATAATTGTAACGCGTGGCGATGGTTGGGTGTACGGGAGTAACGTGTCGAGCCGAAGCGCGCGTCGGGCACGGACTGGCGTTGTCAGCTGGTGGCGCGTTTGCGTGGCTCGCGCCGACCGACTGACGAGACCGTGAGGATACATGCCACCCCCTCCGATGGGTTTCCGCTCCGTTGGCCGGGACCCAGTAGCGTACACACTATATACATGCGTCTCTGTCCGCCAGCTGGGGTTGTTGGGTCGTCAGGAGGGGGGGAGAAGAAGAAGCGCCTCCGCAGCCCCGGAGGGATACGAGCTTTCGAGGCCCGCGAGTTTTCGAATCTCCTGCGAGCTTTCCCACCTTTGCGCAGCTGGTTTTGCGCGCTGGATATTGCAAACACGGCTGCAATGTTTACTACACGGAGTGTGCAGTTAAAAGTGGTTTTTTTTTTTTTTTTTTTTTTTTTTTTATCACCGCTTGAGTGCAAGGCCATTGAAAGTTGTGTTGGCGAAGCTGTGATTTCACAACGTAACGCAGTTCGTCTGTATCGGAGCTCAATGAATATTCGATGATTCCGCGTATTTTGAGTGTGACAAGTACATTATTTGTTGCACGTGAATGATCCTAGACTACGGTTTCGGGTATTATTTTCGAATTTCTTTTTTCAATAGTTAAAGCTTTCAAAGCTTCCGTGAGCTCGAGAGAGGCGTTTTTTTTTTTTTTTATTCCCGAGTGTTAAAATAGACGGACACGGCCAAAACAAGTGAGGCTCGAGAGGTGAAAAACCTGCGATTGGGACTGTACTTTGATCACCTGTATATAATAGTAACGTCAGGTGGTAAATATATTTCCATCGACTACAAACAGGGTATCGATTATACTTAAAAAATATCGATTAATACCTGACTGCGCGAAAAGGCGAAAATTATTGTGTCTCCACTTGCGCGAAATCACAAGCATGAGCGACGTTTTCGACCACCACCCGTCCGATACTTGGAGATGATCACGTTAGCGGAACACCCTCTGTCACTCGATAAACTCATTATCCCATGATGTAGGCGTCCTCCCCGTATCTTCCAGGCGCGATCCAATTACGTAGACACGGCCAGAGGTACCCGTGACTTCCTATTCGAGTTCAAGACGCTGCTTTAAATCCAATTGATCGGACTAACGTGAAAATACAGCCCCGTGTTGTTGGCAAATTTGTTTTTAATGAAAACAGCGCTGAAGAACATTTTTTGAATTTCCAACTGGCTGTATAGGGCGCCAACCCACAAAAAAACGGAGGAAGACAAAAGGTCGAAGCAGAGTATAATTGTACAGGATTCTGGAAGCGACGGGGGTGAAAAATGAGAGTCCGGAAGGAGAGAAGTAAACAATGAGCCAAAGAGCCGTTATCGTGTCATCTGCAGGGAAAAAGATCAGGAATTCAATTTTGCGAAAAAAAAAAAAAAAACCCACGAACAACGATGAACGGCAGAAACAATTTTTTGTTCGAGGGAGTTTGATTGAATACCAGTGAGAGGAAAAAAGAGGGGGTAGGGCTCGTCCCTCGGGGGAAATCAGCGCCCCACTTGTATAAGTAATGATCTCTCGCACTCGTGTCGATGGAGTCGAAGAGCACCTTATTCGCACGTTGTGTAAGGAGGAAAAAGCAAATTATACTGAAAAAAAAAGATACGAACAGAGAGTGATAATAATCGATTGGGGCTCATCTCCGTGTATATAGCCTTACGTACATGTACAGGACATATATAGGCTGCAAAAGCAAAATGCACGCACGCGCCAAAGCAGAAAAGTATTAATAAAAATGGAAACAAAGCAATATTTATACGTATAGGTACATAAGTATAACAGCTGACACGAGTTTAGTGGGGGAGGAGATAAATGGATGGCTGTGATGTTCGACCGACAAAGATAAACAAAGCCGAGACAGCTGTGGTATGTGTAAGGAGGAAGATGAGCAGCGACAGCGCAGTGTATATGTATACGTACCATCACCCAAAGGGTACACGAGAGGATGAAAGAGCGGGCTCGCGAGGGAGGGCGTTTTCTCCTATTGATCGATCCTCCCGCGCGCGAGGGACCACGTGGGTATAACATCGCAAGGCAGGAGAGGAATGGCGCGAGAACGGCTGCGCGCGCGAGTGTAAGGGCTGTGACGGGCGAAATTTACTGTTCTGTCGCGGCTCATGTGCTCTCATTACCGATTGCTTAGGTTTTCATCGACTCGACGGGGCTTTAATATCTTTTGGACTTTGGTTTTTTCTTTTCCTTTGGTTTGGCAATGGCACGGGACATTTTTCGCACCCAAAGGTGACGATTCCGCACCTTCAGGATTAATTGTCTCTCCAGGGATACCGATTAGCACTGGGTGCTGATACGCACACTTTTAAATCAACTTTTTTTTATTTTTCAATTAAGGCGTACTAATTTCCAAAAATACAGAGTCTTGCAACAAAAAAGGTTTTGAATCACAGTGTAACTTAAAATACATGTGGACAGCGCCAAAAGTGGCGCTCTGAAAAAACCCTCTAGAAAATCATAACATTTAATTAAAAGTTTTCCCTTTATTTCCTAGTATTTTCAACGCCCGTCAACATTTGACGCTGTCGACACACATTTTGGGGACGTGCCAAAAAAAAAAAAAAAAAAAAAAGAGCCCCTACACTTCTTAGTGCCAACATGTATACAACTTTTTAGGGGTAAAATTTTAAATTTTTCCTACGAATATTCCCACGCAATTTCCAACGAAATCCGCGTAAAGTCTGATATTTCCGAGTAATCGATCGCCACCGCGAGTGAGCGCGAAAAAATGTACAACAGGCAAACTTAATCTTCCGCGCGTATACGCTCCGCTTCCGAGTATAATCGCAATTAAAACTACGCTCATCGTCATCATCATCGTATAATACACTTAACGAGTGCAATTATACACTGTTATCTCGATGAGGGCGAAGCTTAGCTGCCACATAATAATTATACGTGCCGATGAAAGAGCCGCGCAAAGTATACAGACGCACTCGACGATGACTCTACAGGATAATTTTGATAATTTTATCCAGTGGCATTATCCATTAAAGGGGATGTATGGAGTACCGCTTGATATTAATAAAACCCAATGTGATGCAACGCCTTTGTATGTTTTGTCACATCGGCCCCAAGGGATAATATTCCAATCCATCTTACCAATTACCCTTCAATACACCATGGATATTATGCTTTTGCACGTTTAGTGCGTATTACAATGCATGTATAATCAGGATTGGTTACCTTGTTATTTATAACCAAGCGAGCGATTCGAATATATATATATATACATGTAGGGGCTCGCGTAACAGAGAGTACACACGTATGTTATGCATCCTTTGACGACGATTCTCGTGGCTGTCTATTCTGGTCCACGCGTCCAGACACCGACGTTGCGTATGATGTATCACGAAACAGGAGTCCAGTTGGGAGACGTGACGGGAAAACGAAATCGAACGAGGTGTCTGGCCTTATCTTCACATTTTACCAGCGTGTATGTACATGCAGGTTAAGCGTGGCAAGACAATCGAGGGGAAAAAAAAAAAAGTTGCCTTTATATGGGGGTTCGGAGATTTTTGCGGCTATATTTACTTGTACGATTTGATACATCACTTTCGGAGAAGTAAGCGTTAATCTATATGTGGATTAACGTGATCGTTGTACTTGAGGCGAAAAAAAGTGGCTTTGCTTTCGACGAGCCGATATTTTTGATCTGCCACGGTTTTGTCGTCGTTGTACTTACATTTGTCTTTTCAATTTCAATGGTCACTGGTACACTAAGGTTTTCTTTAGCTTGATACGATCGCGTGAGCGAAAGGCATATTAACAACAATAAGTATGTCTCGGAAAAAAAAAAAAAAAATGCACCACGACGAATATTTATAATCACATGTGCGTGGATCATGAGTGTTGGGTCTACTGCATCACTGGTAATTCAATTTTTTTGAAAAATAATCAACGTGAATTAGATTGCTTGTTCGGCGTTACAAATGACATCCAGTGAAACAATTTGGTAGATCGTTGTAATATTACCGAGGATGGAGTTTTCACGTTCCTTTGACTTGCTGCTGGGACATTACAAACAAACATCCGATTAGATATTTTTACGCGGAAAATTTATTTACAAATGAAACCATAACTTGGTCAAAATACAGTGTATAACTCGATGCCCAATTGTGGAATGACTGACTTGCCTGTACACTTTTTCAACGTGAATCGTGAGCTATTGTTCCTGATCACGTACATAAACGTTAACGACCGTCTCTCCCCACGAACATAGGCGTCAAAGGTGTTACGCTGAGGACTAATAGATTTTCATATACTTGCATAAGTGTGTCTGCGATATGAATATGAATCAAGCTGTTTTGCATCGGTTCGGAGACATTTTTATCGCACATGAGTTGGATGACAAACTTATTTTTATTTGAAAAGCTCCGCTTTGTTCGTTTGATTATCGATGTCGATAAAATATACTTGTAGTTTTAATTCAAAGAGTTTATCGTTTACCGAAACTTTTCCCCGCGTTTGGCAAGTTGGCAAGAATTCGGTGACAAAACATTCAACGCCTCAGCGACGGCCGGTTACACAACAAAGTTTTTTATTTTTTTCTTTTCCTTATTTTTTTGTCCCCGAAACGGCGGGTGCAGACATTGAACTCCAAATATATATTTTAAGATCTCGCTTGTAGTGACGCATGACTCGGAAAAACATGAAAAATATCGTAAACACGTTCAACGAGTGATGCGTGCATACTCATTAGCAACTGCAATAAATGAAATTCCAACAACTACGGTTATGTAAACGATGACGCGTGCAGTTCATCAAATAATAATGATTGTACTGTTTCGAAAACAAAAGAAACGAAAAAAAAAAAAAAAAAACGACTGTTACCTGCACTGGTGTCATTGAATCGAATTTCAACTCTTTCAACGTTTTAAGAACGGCGTCTTATGGTTGTTTGAGCTATTATTTTTAACTGGAAGGCCGGGACAGGAGGAGGAAAAAAAAAAAAAAAAAAAAAAAAAAAAAATCGAGGAAGAGCACAGTTTGGAGGTCCTATTGACGAGCTCATTTCAACGCGCTCGAACCGCGGCGTT